GGGGGTTAAAAAAAAAAAAAAAAAAAAAAAAAAGGCTCCTGCCTTTTTTTTTTTTTTTTTTTTTTTCTACCATTAGTTTTGAAAGTTAAGTACAATTCAACGTAACTTTCTAACTATAATCCATACACACTAACAATGTCATTGGTTTTAATATTGAAGGTCTTGGTGCTACATTGAATGTTGCAAAACCAAGCAAAGGTTCATCAGTGGCTGTATTTGGATTGGGAGCCGTTGGTCTTGCTGTGAGTTGTCTCTTCATAAATAAAATGAAAATTTGGTGCATTTATTATTGCTTATTCACTTTTTTTGCTTTTACATTTTCTATAGGCTGCTGAGGGAGCTAGACTTGCTGGTGCTTCCAGGATAATTGGGGTTGACTTGAATTCTAAGAGATTTACTGAAGGTGAAGGAAACAGTTAAAAACCTTGCACGCATACATACACATATATATGCACTTGGAGGAGTTTATTTGAACTTATGAAAGTTGCTAATAATCTTTCTAAAAGATCCTTTAGCTTATTCTAGTAAGCTTGATGGATTCATACGTAATAAGAATATATCAAATAAATGCTTAATTAAGCTATTTATCCAAATTTGTTGTTCTTAAGCAACCATAATCATCTTTCCATTGACGATCCTGATAAATCTGTTAATAGCTCTGCATTAGTTATGTTCTGAATGTGCTTATTCTTGTCTACAGCTAAGAAGTTTGGAGTTACTGAGTTTGTGAATCCAAAAGATTATGACAAGCCAGTTCAAGAGGTTTGTCTCACCTGTAATATTATCTGACTAGTCATGAATTTATACATAGCTTTTACACTCACTTGAATTGTTCAATTCATTTCAGGTGATTGCTGAAATGACTGGTGGGGGAGTAGACCGAAGTGTTGAGTGTACTGGAAGTGTCAGTGCTATGATCTCTGCATTTGAATGCGTGCATGATGTAAAGTTCCACATGATTCTTCTCTAGTAATTTGGTTTTCCATGATTATAACTGCAGTGCATCAATGCATGTCTTCAGATGCAAAATTCTTCAATTCCCATTCTGACTTCTTCTGAATAACTTTACAGGGATGGGGTGTTGCTGTACTTGTTGGTGTGCCAAATAAAGATGATGCTTTCAAAACTCATCCAATTAATGTCTTGAACGAAAAGACTCTCAAGGGTACTTTCTTCGGTAACTATAAACCACGTTCTGACCTCCCATCAGTGGTGGAGATGTACATGAACAAGGTTAGTCGGTTACATGATTAATGAGAATAATGTTTGAATTTGGAACTGGTGACTCACTTTTATTTTATATGCATACACACACTTTAGTCAAGATTATGAGATTGTAAGGGGTATGAAATTTGGTTTATTTGACTGAAAACCAACATAATCATGACAGCATGTTACTAGTCACATTGTCACCTGATCAATCTCAGTAATTCCAATTTTTTTTCATGCATATCTTGTCATCGTGGTTAATGCTCGACTACAATTAAGAGTGTTTCTTTAGTCAAAACATGCAGGAAAAATTGCAAAGTTGGTAGCAATTTCTATGTGAAAAGTTGCTTTTATTATGGCACTTTGTTTGAATTAGACACTTAAAAATTTTCCTTGCTTATCGCTGGGAAACTTCCTATTCTTTTCTTTAATTTTATCTCCTGAAATTTAATGTCAACCTTTTGCCACTGCTCCTCACTTGGAAGCTTACTCGTTTTCTTCTGAATCTTTTCAAATGTAACAGGAACTTGAACTGGAGAAATTTATCACCCATGAAGTACCTTTCACAGAAATCAACAAAGCCTTTGAATACATGCTTAAAGGAGAGAGCCTGCGTTGCATAATCCGCATGAGTGCATAAAATTTATTTAAAATAACTACCGTGTTTGAAATAAAATAAAATATACTTGATCATGTATGTAGCTGTGGTCACTGTAACAAAACATGTGTAAGCGTTGCTTTAAATTTCATAGGGAAGTTACTGTATCTTGTAAATCTCATGCGTTTAAAACAAGCTACTCGCGTATTGTTGTATTTTTCTGCAAGTATATATTCTATGAAGTTGATAATTTTTATGTTGAAAAAGCCTATTAAAAATCTCATCCGATCCTATTCTTACTTATTATGATTTGATTACTGCTTTCTATGCAAATATTATTGCAGAATTGGAAATTGAACTTTCAAGTTTTTTGAAATTGAGATTTTCCAGCTGTCATGATAAAATATTTTTGGTCGAAGGTTCCGAAAAAGCTAGTTATAATTGTGGACTAATGATGCATACTTTTAGCTTATTTGCTTGCCAATCAGCAGCTATTTTTGTGAGTCAAATAACTAATTCCATGGGTCCAATAGCTTTATGTTCAGTTTTTAACACCAAACAAACAAAAGCTTTGTTACTTTTTACATCTGTAAAAATAGCTCAATAATTAGAAGGAAAAGTTTCTTCCAGTGGCGAATGCACTGTTGTGACTGTCCAAAATTTTCCAATTGCCAAAGCAGGAAGGTTTCAGACCATGCTTATATGGGATTGAGAGTCTATATTCTTGTTAGTTTATGACCCGTGACTCTAGCCTATCAAATGTTTGCTAGCAGACAAGGAAAACATTATGAGTAGCATACTTTCTACCTTCCAAATAAACCCTTGAATCTCTCACAGAGTAGTAAATACAAGAGGAAAAAGCCAACTCGTTTAAACAACTTAAGGCTAGCCCCCAAAAAAATTATATTTACAACCAAAAACAGTGTCCTAGTAGGCGAGATTCTTTCATGAACAGAGTTTATCATGTGACACTTGATCAAACCGTGTACATCTGTTATATGCTACATACCTCTACTAGCCCCACATAAAATATTGCCATAATTTCATGTCCCCTTGACCCTTACAAACCTAAAGAATAAAGTAATGTGAAATACAAGGCAAATCATATCTAAATGAGATCTTAAGAAGAAAAGGAACCATAAAACTCTGCTTCTTGACTTTATTGCCCCACTTTTCAATATTTCTTTTTTACATTGACGTGATATATACAATGTTTCAAAATTAACAATTAATAACTAATATGTGTTCATAGACATAATTTTTGTTAGCCAAGCATTATTTTAATATTGATGAGAATCGAATATGAAAGTATTAGGTCGACTCTCATGTCCCCCTACCCCACTTTTCTATATGCTTTGAAGTGTCTCCTTCCCTTTCAGTTTTCACCCCTTGCCTCAAAATATCTCATCAGGACACCACACCAACACCCTCTTGTACTCTATAATGGCTTCTAAGATCTTCTTCCTATTTCTCCTCTTTCTAGCACACCCTCATCCACGTGCATTAGTGAATGGAGATGCTAGTTTGATCAAGAGAACTTGCAAGAACACCAAGTTCTACAATCTATGCTTCTCTTCCCTCAAATCTGATCCAACCAGCCCCAACGCAGACCCTAAGGGCCTAGCTATGATCATGATTGGGATTGGAATGACAAATGCCACCTCCACTTCTTCCTACTTGTCTTCTAAGGTTCTTAGCCCCACCAACAACACAACCTTGAAAAGGGTCCTCAAGGAGTGTGCAGATAAGTACAGTTATGCTGGGGATGCACTCCAAGCTTCGGTGCAGGATTTGGCTAATGAGGCTTATGACTATGCTTACATGCACATTCTTGCAGCCAAAGATTACCCAAATGCTTGTCACAACGCTTTCAAACGCTATCCTGGTTTGGTTTATCCTCTTGATCTTGCTCGTAGAGAAGATGGTTTGAAGCATATCTGTGATGTGGCAATGGGGATTATAGATAATCTCGATTGGTAGGTGCATGCATTTGAGTATAGCTTCCACTTTGTTATGCAAATCATGGTATATCTCTGGTGTTGAGTTTGGCTACTATATATCTTGTTATGTTCTTGGTATAATATATTGGACATAAATGTATTAGTCTATTTGAATTTAATTTAAATAGTTTTCTTAACGTATTTATTTTTATGACCAAAATTTGAGTAAATGTTAAAAATTTGCAATATTCTCTTTCTCTTATAATTTTTTTTTACAAATTTAAACATTCTTTTAGTTCCGAAATCAGTTCAGTACTGCAAAAAAAAAAAAACGTGTTTTAATATATTATTTTTTAATGCACTAGGGTATCTTAGACAAAAATCATGAACTAATGTTTCGAGATATTAAAAATTATTTAAGAGACTGGACTAATATATTATATTTCTCATGCACAAATTTTCAGTTTCATATTAGTACACAATTTATTCATTATTAAAAAAAAAACATTTTGGATGTAATCTAACAAACGCAGCTTCGAATATCAAACAATAAAAAAACATATGTTAACTGTTATATAAGAACTTGAGAATATTGCCATTGAATACGTTTAACTAAAAACACTTTCTTTTAGAGTCAATTTAGTGATGGAAAGTTGAAATAACAAGGACAACATTTTATAGATAAAAAAAATATAGCGTTTATAGAATTTGAATAGAACTGTATGTTAATTATTCCGTGCAAAGTACGATATTATTTTAAAAATAAATGTTATAATTAAATTATTTAAAAAGGGTTGACTGACTTTTATTTAATTAAAAATAATAAAAATAAACACAACGATTATAAACTATATACATATGCTATAAATAAATGCAGTATAATTGCCTTCAAGAAAAATTGTGTCCTAAATATTATCTTTACATATATTTGCATCTAAACCCTATTGTAAATGGTACTATTCGTCGATTTAAGGACTATTATGCAATTATTTTTCAACCTCAAAAATTATTATACTAGGCCGATTTTAATGGTCAAATATCATTTTACTATAAAAAAATGCACAATATAATTTAAAATACAAAATGGCTAAGTATTGGAATTTAATTCATGTCTAACATTAGAGTTAATGGATAAATAGTACATCCCATAAAAATAGTGAGAAAATAAATAGAAGAAAAAAGTATCCCCACCGTTAGACACTACAACAAAATTGTCATATAGTGACATACCCTATAATGACACTATACATATCACTTAAAATTACTTTTACCTACACAATAACTATAATATATGTTGGAATATTATTAAAAAGTGTGGGTATAGACTATAGTGACACACAAAATATGTTGTTAAATCTCATTCAAAATCAACACTAAAATTGTGTGTAACTATATATCAAATAGACATATACCTACATATATTGTACCTATAGTGACATTTTTTGTATGTCACTATATATAACATTTCTTGTAGTGAGAAGACCTTATTCAATGACGTGATTATTATTGATCTTCTTGATAACTCAATATAATTTTTTTTAGAGTAAATACTGTGCATAATAGTAAAAAAAATAGTATATTATTATTTAATTATAATTTATCTCGTGGGTATATATATATATATATATATATATATATATTCTCACT